CCTTGAACACGTACATCCTAAAATTCTATAAAATTGGGACAGTCACTGAATTTTGAAGCTTTGATTATCCATCTTATAAATTAGCAAGTGAGAAAAATCACCAACACCTTTTGTATCTGTAAGGCAATTTTTTATTTTTATTTGTGTTTGTGTTCTTGATACCTAATGTGTTTTGCACAATGCTTTCATTTTTGGAAAGATTCCAAAAGGAAAACATTATCAATAGAGTAAAATTAATGCCTTCAAATGCTATTAAGAAACAGTATGTAGAAATCAGGAGTGAGTCAAAATTATAAAAATAATAATACCTTATATTTTTAAAAACACTTAATGTTTTTCAAGGAATTATAATTTAAATTACAATGAAATCACATTTTAGATAATATGTGGGAATAATCCAATCAGGTGATGTCTCTTTCTTATGTTCTCCTTAATTCTCTGATTGTACAATGAAGAAATTTCAGAACACTGGATTTTCACAACACTTCTATAGCAAACACTGTATGTAAATCTCAGTTAGCATTTTACTTATAAAGCTGCTGAAAAGTCCTTCTCTAAACCAGAAATGAAAGGTTAAGTCATGACCAGTGAAGTTTCGCTGCTGTCTTCTGAAAAGCATCAGAGTGGTATTTTGTGAGAGGTTCCCGTTAGGCGTGTCACCATGCTGTTGTTGTGGGCCACGTAACCCTACTAATTAGACAGGGATCGACATGACCTAAAGACTAATGGCGTATGATGAAGCCTGGCACAGGAGGGCTGCCCTTTCTTCTGTCTTGCAGAGTTTGAGTAAGAAATATCCAGGGAGAGTCAGCATTGGGTAAATGCAGAAGTGGAGAGGAGGAAGACAGGAAACAGAAGCCATGAGTAAGCAAAGCCATGAGGCAGAGAGAAAGTGAGTGGAGCATAGTCAGTAGCAATAGTTGGAAAAATAAGCAGGTAGAGAGAAACAGACAGAAGAGCTGAGTCATGTGTATGGCCAGGAGCCAGGAGTTTCTGTGAGGTCACCAGGGGGTAGATTATACAACTAGACTAGACTCAGTTGTGGCTGAGTGGCTATAACGTAATTTGAGTTTTCCACGAGCCTGCCAATGAGACCTTTATCTATTTTTTTCTACTTCTCCATATCATATCCTTTTTAATAAACCTGTGCTAATTGAGCCAAGTGATCATTTCTCTGCTCTTTGCACCGTGAAAGAATCTAATTAACGCAATATTGAAAGAAGCTTGCACAGCGCCTGGAACATAATAAAAGTTCCATATAGTGTGGCTATCGGTATTTTAAAAGAGCTCCTACAAGCAAAAGCAAAAGCTGCAGACTAATTCTTAAATCCAAGAGTCACAGTTGGTTTGGATTTTCAGTTTGGTAGCTTTTTCCCCCTCCTGCTTTAAAGGCTTTTTTTAATTCTAGGAGAAGGCCCAAATTGGATAAGTTTAGGTGTGGAAATAAACACATGTTCTAACAATTTGGGAGAGATGAACGCATCTCTAGGGATATGGGGTTTGACAAAATATTTCAAATTATTTTTCAAATATGATGGGCTTGGCAAAAACAAAATGATTTTCTAAAAGAACTTTCCTTTTTAACATTCAAATGGTCTCAAAGGAAATGCAATGTACGTATTTCTGACTCATTTTATATAACTTGGTATTGTTCAATAGGAATTTATTGATGTTTAAAAATTCAATAAGTGTTTGAACTAAGAGGTATTTTTGGACCATGACACCGTCTTCTGAGAAAAGGGTTGAACTAGATGTTTTCTTAAAAGGGTCTCAGCACTTGGCCTCAAATTTTACCAAATATTTTTCTTCCTTTGTATAATAGAAAAAAGTAATCTCTGAATAATCTCCCTTTCTTCCAGTTATGAACAAAAAGACAGTAATTTGAATTCCAGATAATGAGCAATAGGGAAGAAACCAGCCATATACTTAATTTAGGTGTGAAAAGAAAAGAAAGGAACAGAAAAGAAGGGGGCTGGGGAGAGACAGAGGAAGAGGAGAAAGAACTACTGAGATGTTAAAGGATTAAAAGTTTGTGAACTAAATGATATGTAATCAACAGCCCAAATTTCTCTATAGCATGCGTTAAGTTTCAGAGTGACCCAAGAGCTCGTCGGGTGTAAAATTATACTTTGTACTTCCTTGATACCCTTTTCTTCTCCCATTATAATACTCATCAAACTTTATTGACATTACGTCATATTTGTCTGCCTTTCCTCTGCACTGTAACCTGTGTGAGTGTAGAGTCCATGTCTGTCTTGTTCTCTGTTATCCCCAGAACCAGCATAATGGCTAGCAGAAGTATTTCTATCTATGACTAGCTCAAACGTGTTTGTTAAATAAAACCTTATAATAGTCACATGCAGGGGTTAAAAGCACAGGCTCCAAATCAAACTCAGAGTCATTTTTAACATCTGTAGAGTGGACATAGTAATGGTGGCTCCTCACTGGGTGGTAGTGGGTATTAGGTGAGAAAATACACGTATGGCACTTGGCACGGTGCGTAGCATGCTGTTAGTGTTCAACAAATGTTCGCTATATAAATAATAATTAGTATTTCCCCATAGCAACAAATCTAAGCATTTTTCCTTCAACAAAAAATGTTTTTGTAAAAGTCAAATACAAATCTATTTTTTTTTTTAAACACACACATTGTGATTTAGTCATGCACATTTTACCAGCACAGCCGGAAACATTACAGGTGATGCTGTCTTGAAGAATCTTTTTCCCCCAACTGGCTGATTGGCCATTCTCCCTGTTAGTGAGTCATTTGATCTTACTCATTTCTGGGTGAATTCAGTTGGCTGTGGAGCAGGCATGCTGGAGAATAGGAAGGGTTGTCATTGTAGATTCTTCTAGGCTAATAAGAATGTCAGTCGTTTAAAAGAATGACCATGATTTAGTGGTTACATAGTCAAGAATTCCTAAAGTAAGATTTTTCTTTTTCCAACATAGGCATGACTCTGACCCTGAACAGAGTGTAATCAGGTCACTCTAGAGATGTAGCCACAGCCCAAGTGTCCCTTGGAAAGATGACACAGAGATTGAAAGGTCATAAAATGACTGGCCTGCACATCCAGGAATGGCAATAGTGTGAACACCTACCAAGTGTGTTTTTTTTGTTTTGTTTTTTTTTTTGAGACAGAGTCTTGCTTTGTTGCCCAGGCTAGAGTGAGTGCCATGGCGTCAGCTTAGCTCACAGCAACCTCAAACTCCTGGGCTCAGGAGATCCTCCTGCTTCAGCCTCCCAAGTAGCTGGGACTACAAGCATGCGCCACCAGGCCCGGCTAATTTTTTTTTCTTTATATATTAGTTGGCCAATTAATTTCTTTCTATTTATAGTAGAGACGGGTCTCGGTCTTGCTCAGGCTGGTTTCGAACTCCTGACCTTGAGCAATCCACCCGCCTTAGCCTCCCAGAGAGCTAGGATTATAGGCGTGAGCCACCGCGCCCGGCCCCAAGTGTATTTTAGAAATATTATTTCTTTCTTTTTTTTTTTTTTTAGACAGAGTCTTGCTTTGTTGCCCAGGCTAGAGTGAGTGCCAGCCTAGCTCACAGCAACCTCAAACTCCTGGGCTCAAGCAATCCTACTGCCTCAGCCTCCCAAGTAGCTGGGACTACAGGCATGCGCCACCATGCCGACTAATTTTTTCTATATATATTAGTTGGCCAATTAATGTCTTTCTATTTATAGTAGAGACGGGGTCTTGCTCTTGCTCAGGCTGGTTTTGAACTCCTGACCTCGAGCGATCCGCACGCCTCGGCCTCCCAGAATGCTAGGATTACAGGCGTGAGCCACCGCGTGCTCGCGGCCTAGAAATATTATTTCTAACTTTTGCAACAAACCTATGAAAGCAACTCTATATTTCCCATTTCAAAGACAAGGAAACTGACTCAAATAGATTAAGTCCCTTGCTCAAAAGTTCACATACCTGAAATCACTGGACAGGACCATTTCTATGTAAATCTAAAACTGTTCTAAAACATAGCACTTATTTTTAAATTAAAATAAAAATATTTCCTTTGTAAATAGAAATCCTCAGAAGAAAAAATATTGGTTAGAAAATAAATTTCTAAAATATTGAATCTGAAAAAAATTCACCTGACCTAATAATAACAACACAGTTTTGTCTTAATTTGAATGCAAACAGCCTATGCTTTGCTGCCTTCCAAGTGGTTGCATTTGGGATTTATAATAAGAAACCATTCTGCAGCCAGAATCTCTTGTTTTGCTGGTGGGTTGTACGGTTTGAGAACAGTGGTGTTGCTTACAATGTTCACTATTCTATCTTTGCCTCTCAATCCAATGCCTAGTATAAAATAGTGCACAATAAATATGTATTGAAGGAATAAATAAATGCCTCCTTTTCCCTGGAGGCCCCTGGGAAATACAGCAGGTAGTTATCATTAATTAATCAAATACGTATTGTCAGACATTGTCTTTATGTGGGTCTTCAGTGAGCACACAGTACAGGGGCTTCCTGCTCTAGGGGTAGGACTGATCTTGTGATGGGCAAGCCATCTGAGATATGCTGAAAGGGAACCCCAGCACAGCTCTTACAGACACACACACACACACACACACACACACACACACACACACTTTAAAATTCTCCCTATTCGCTAGCTATATCGTCTAACTTGCACCACTTTAAAAAATTACTCTTTTAAGTGAATATGTGCTCATTTAAAGAAAGTAATAAGGAGAAAGTCTCTTACTGCATAGTTAAGCATGGGGTCATGGAAGAGAAGAAGTCAATTTAAGGGGGTTGTGGCAGGGAATAAAACAGTCCAGGCAAGGAAATCCAAGGAGCACCATGCTAGAAGGTAGGGTAATGACTATGCAACAGTGGATGCCATGAGACCTGTACCAGTATAACCAACTTCTTCACTCAGTGGCTTCCTGAGCAAACTGCTGAGTCCACTTCTGCCTGATTCCAAAGTCAGGCCATGTTCTGCTCCATTATGACATGGACAGTGGCCAACTGTTTGGATGGCTCTGCTTGTAGGCTCCCAACTCAGTAGGAACAGAGACAACATCTGTCCTACTGACTGGTGTACCCTGAGCATCTAACACAATATCTGTACCACATAGGTGCTCAGTAAGTATTTGTAGCTTGATTAAACCATATTTTGTTTTAAGGATTTCATTCCTAATCACCTTAGGAAAAAACGGATACAGGTAAGGAAACCTCCAAAATTGGCACCTATAAAGATTACAAAGCTCTTACAAGAACAATTTTTATTTGTGATATTTTTTTGGTTTTTTTCTCTATTTTTAGAAACCATGTATTGTTTCATTATTGAAAAGTAACAAATCTATTCTTAACATTGAAAAATAATTAAAAACTTTTCATTTCACCACCCACCATTTTCACCAATATTAGTTTAATGAATAGCCTTCTAAACTTTTTCTTTTTCTTTTCTTTGTATTTATTTATTTATTTATTTATTTTTTGAGACAGAGTCTCACTTTGTTGCTCAAGCTAGAGCGAGTGCCGTGGCATCAGCCTAGTTCACAGCAACCTTAAATCTCCTGGGCTCAAGTGATCCTACTGCCTCAGCCTCCCGAGTAGCAGGGACTACAGGCATGCGCCACCATGCCTGGCTAATTTTTTTTGTATATGTATTTTCAGTTGGTCAATTAATTTCTTTCTATGTATAGTAGAGACAGGGTCTCACTCAGGCTGGTTTTGAACTCCCAACCTTGAGCAATCCACCCGCCTCGGCCTCCCAGAGTGCTAAGATTACAGGTGTGAGCCACCACACCTGGCCCTTCTAAACCTTTTCTACACACATATATAAATATTTATTTCTTATTATAAAAACAGGATGATACAATTTTATAATCTACTATTTTCATTTAACAACATATTGGAAATACTTACAATAAATCTACTTTTATATCACCATCCTTAGTGGCTATATGACATTCTTAAATGGCTACACTGTATTTTATACTAAAAATCCCTAGTGTCCATTATTTTGTGAGTAGAAACTGTGCTAAATATGTATCTTACTTGTTTTTAAACACTTAACAAGGCTTTACTGAAAGCTGAGTTTAACAGGAGAGAACAACACTACAGAAAGCTTAAAGTGGATACTAGAGCTGGTAACTCTCAGAGTGCACAGCCCCAAGGCCCTACACAAGAGTTCCCTAAGGGCCTATCGGCCATCTTAATCAGAGCCTGCTTCCCCGTTGCAAAGTTCTCTCACCCCGTTCATTTTTTTCTTCATCTCTAAGGCTAGACATCTAGCCTTTATTTAAGAAGAGCTTCATGATCCATTGTCTATCTCTATCACCCTCCTCCTTTTACCTCCATTCCCAGCCAGAAGATGTAATCCTAGCAAGATAGTAGATTTTCCATCACTTCAAGAAGAAAATGTGCATTTCTTAAGATGACCTTCCCAGTAACAAGCAGTTAAGTACTTTCCACCAGCACTTTATAGCTTACACACTTAGGCAGTGCTATAGTTTAGATATGGTTGGTTTGTCTCCACAAAAACTCATGCTGAAATTTGGTCCCCAGCATGGAGGTGGTGGGAGGTGGACCTAGTGGGAGGTATGTGAATCATGGGGGGGAGGATTCCTCATGAATGGCTTGGTGCCATTCTTGTGTTAGTGAGCAAGTTCTTGCTCTCTGGAGACTGGTTTGGTCCTGGGGAAATGGATTAGTTCCTACAAGACTGGGTTGTTATGAAGCCAGCACCCCCTCCAGTTTGGGCCCACTGTCGTGTGCCTGCTTCCCCTTTGACCTTTTCTACAATGTTTTGACCCAGCCCAAAAGCCCTCACCAGAAGTTGAGCAGATGCCTGTGCTATGCTTCTTGTACAGCCTGTAAAACTGTGAGCTAAATAAACCTCTTTTCTTTATAAATTGCCCAGCCTCAGGTATTCCTTTATAGCAACACAAAATGGACTAAGACGGATGTTGAAAGAGAGTTCCCTTGTACCTCTCAAATTATTCTTCTATGTAACCGCCTCCATCTCTGCTTAATCTCTTGAGCCCATCTTGGAGAGACACAGGCCATGCCACCATGACCCTGTGCCATGCCTACTGCTCACCACCACAAATCATTCTCCCTTTCAGGTACCACATGACGTCTGGATGGGCCCCACAACAATGTTGTCAGTGTCTCTCCAACTTTAGGAATGTTCCAGGCCCCATCACCATTGAACAAGAGAAGTAGTTATTCAAGTTAACAAATATTTATGGAACACTAGGCACTAAGCACAGTTGGAACAGGATCAGGGAATGACAACATTGAGAGAACAAGAGACATCAAAGCAAGGAAGACACATGGCCAAGTCAGTCTGAGAAAGGGTCACAACACCAAATCCCTTAAACTACAAGCTATGTGAGGGGAGGGATTTTTGTTCTATTTTTTTTTTTCGCTGTTATATCCCCAGTACCCTGATATGGTGACTGGTACGAAGTAGATATTTGGTTAATATTTGTTGAATTAATTAATTAACAAGATATGACTCTTGTCCTAAAGAATAATACACTCTACTAAACTAGAAATAAAGACTATGTGGTAAATGCTCCCATAGGGGCAAAGTGGGAGGAAAGGCACCAAATCCAGTCTTGAAATGGTTTGAGAAGGATGAAGCTATAGAATTTGGTTTCCCCAGTTTGCCACAGGCTATAAGAAGGCGAGGAGGGTGATAAATATTTCTATCTCCTAGGCAAATGTACTGAACTGAGTCAAACTTTTTATTCTCAGTCAATTTGCTGCTAGTGTGTGTCTATAACTTCAGTTTTTCTTCATGATTGGACTTTACCATGTCTATTTCCATTTCATTGCCTATATTTTGAGTCCAAATATACATTTCTGCAAATAATTTTAATATCACCCTCCCTTTTTACCATTGGTGTAGCATTGTACTTTCTGATCCAATATTACAGTGAGGTAGAGAAGGAGAAGAGAAAAAATAGCAGTGTGGGTCCCTAGGAACAATAAAACCAGAGATAGGGAGTCTATGGCTTACTGAGTTATTAGGGAGACCTAATTTATAAAAACTACCCTAAATACTTACAGAGTAACATTGCCATTACAGAAAAAAACTAGAAATGAAAAGCAAGATTTGTCGAATTCTTTCACCATATCTTTCTGCTCTAAGTATATGAGTAAGAAAGTTGACCAGGCTCAATTGCTAGCTGAGCTTCTACTTTAGGTTGTTATTAAATTATTTGTGTTCTACCTTGAAAGTCACTTGGCTTAGGCCTGAAAAAAAGAAAAATTTCTTCTTTTAGGATTATCTCCTAAAATGAAAGCAAATTATGCTCTTGAACATTACAAGTCCTTGTTCCCAAATAATCACAGAAAAGGATTTTTTTTAAGAGAAAATTTTCAACTACAAGGGTAACTGTGACTCTAAAATGTATTCTTAGCTTCCACAGAATCCTGCAAAAGCAATGCACAGATGGTGTATGATATTGAGTTCCATGAAAGGCTCTCTGTATTTTGATGATATTAGTTGATGCACGTGAGTAACATTGCTTAATCTGCAAATAATAGACAACAAGAACATTTAGTGATAAAACAGAATGCCATTTGGGCTAGTAATATTTTTATTATGGAAAATACAGAGGAGTATATAAAGTTTTGAGTAAATCTGTTTATTTCTGTTAATAGTATGGATACTTTCCAACAAAGCCTTGCTGAATAGAAACAGAGGCTAGGGGTGGTCATACATTATGTATAATATTGAAGAGCTATGTCATAGAAGCCTGCATTTCCCTGTAACAAAGCATTTAATATGGAAACTATGTGTATAATTTCTCAAGTCAACTACAGAGGTTAAACTGATGGATCATATACTGAAATAGAGCTGTCTGAAGAATCTATCCTGATTTATTTTTCCAGTAGAAAAGCAAAATATTCAATTACTTAATGTGTTAATGTTTTAGACTATAATTATTCTAATTTAAACATGGGTTAGTGCTGTTTTATATATCCATAAAAATTTTCTTACTGGGCATGTAACATTCATTCCTGTCATTCTTTCAGTTCAAGCTGCAATGTTTCTAATGAAAAAATTTCAAACAAAATGTCTAACAAAATGATTTTGTGTTTCTCTTTTCACACACTGGGGTAATCATGCAAAAAAAGCAAATAAATCATTTTCTTTTGGGGTGAAAGCATTCATATTTGATAAGTGATTTAAAAGTAAAATGAGATTTTACATAAACATTTTACATTTTTTATGGATTTATCTTTATTGATATTCTTTTCAGGAAAGAATCATTACTAAAAGAAATATGTCCATGTCAAAAATATGTATGATAAAGTACAGTCATGGATAATTTGTGTTAGAGAAATAAAGGAATCTTGCAAAGTATAAATTCAGAACTTAACGAAAGAAGAATATGGGTAAGAACCTAGTAGTAAAAAGGTTCCAGAAGAATAGTAATAAACACAATAAAAACAAAAATGTTTTGTTTTATATGATCAGAGGACTACTACCTAGAAATACAATCCAGAGATATAAAAGAAAAGGAGAAACAAAAAAATTACTCAGAAAGAAAAAAACAACAACAAAATGCATTAGTAAATTCCTATTTTTAAAAATGCCATCTATATTTTAATGTGGTCCCCCTGGATGGTTGCCAAACCAGAGTTAGACTAGAAATGTGGTTATGATATCTAGGATATAAACTTTGTTTCACATTCTTGCTCCACCCTGAAATTCTTTTCTACTACATTTAAAACATCACTAGGTAATTACTTCAGCATTTCTTATGTATGTAAGGGCCCTAGGCACTAGTGAAATCTTACCAAACTGTACAGAACATATTCCACAGTGGAGAAAATAGCAAACTGACAAACAACCCCTCCTCTACCCCACCTTTGGCTATGTCTTGGTACTCTTTTGACTAGAACTATATATGAAATAATGAAACTCTGTTTTAAAGTAACTGCTGCTGAGAACAGGGGTAATACATAACTATCTTGGAGAATTACCAATGCCAGGTTACACTTCACAGCATTTTTGGGGGAAGGATAGGATTTATATTCAGGGTGTAATCTGGACACATATTAATATATTTTTATTGAGCAACTACTCTGTGACAGATACTAAACTCTCTGTGTAACATGCAAAGATAAATGGTATACAATTATGTCTTTGAAGGGCTTATAATCAGGTAAGGGATAGAAAACAATACATACAGCTACAATAAAGGTATGTCTGATATGAAATATTGATTGTCTTATATATTCATAGCTACTTGCCATGGTTTAACTGTGTCCCCCAAAGTTCATGTGCTGGAAACTTAATCTCCAGTGCAATAGTGGTGAGAGGTGGGAACTTTAAGAGGTGATTAGGTCATAAGGTTCTGATATCCTGTAGAAGTAGGTTAATTACTACAGGAGTGGGTTCCAGATAAAAGTATGCATCTGGCCCCTTTCTTCTATTGCTCTCTTGACCGCTTTTGCCCTGTCACTTTCCACCATGGTGTGACACAGCAACAAGGCCTTTGCAAGATGCCAGAACCTTGATATTGGAATCTTCTCAGCCTCCAGAACTATGAGAAAATGGTTTCTTTTCATTATAAATTAACCAGTTTGAAGCATTTTGTAATAGCAGCATAAAATGGACTAAGACAGAAAATTGGTAGTGTGAAGTGGGGTTGTTGCAATAACAAATACCTAAAAATGTGGAGGCAGCTTTGGAACTGGGTAATATTAGAGGTTGGAAGAAATTGGAGGAAATTTGGCTAGAAAAAGCCTAAGGTGCCATACATAAATGGAGCATTAAGGGCAACTCCAGTGAGGGCTCAAAAGAAGAAGAAAGTTGTAGGGAAAGTCTGAAACTCCTTAGAGATTACTTGAGTGACCACGATCAGAATGTTGGTAGAAATATGAACACTAAAGATCATTCAGATGAGGTCTTAGATAGAAATCAGGAATATCTTATTAGAAACTTGAATAAAGGCCAGGCTTGTTATAAATTGGCAAAGAACTTGGCCAAATTGTGTTCACATCCAGAGCTTTATGGAAAGTGTAATTTAAATGCAGTAAACTAGGATATCTGGTGGAAAAAATTCTAAGCAAATTATTAAAGGAGCTGCCTGGCTACTTTTAACTGCATACAGTAAGATGCAAGAGGAAATAAATGGCTTAAAGACAGAATTTATCAGCAAACATATAAAAAAATGTTCAACATCGCTAATCATTAGAGAAATGCAAATCAAAACCACAGTGAGATATCACCTAACCCCAGTGAAATTGGCCTGTATCAAGAAATCCCAAAATAACAAATGCTGGCAAGGATGTGGAGAGACAGGAACACTCTTACACTGCTGGTGGGACTCTAAATTCGTGCAACCTTTGTAGAAAAGAATTTGGAGATATCTCAAAGAGCTAAAAATAGAAATAACATTTGACCCAGCAATAGCATTATTAGGTATCTACCCCAAAGAGCATAAGACATTCTATTATAAAGACATTTGCACTTGAATGTTTATGGCAGCACAATTCATTATTACAAGGATGTGGAAACTACCCAAGTGTCTGCCAATTCATTAGTGGATTATTAAAATTTGGTATATGTTTACAATGGAATATTACTCAATTCTAAGAAACGACAGTGAGCTAGCACCGCTTATAGTATCCTGGATTGAGCTTAAACCCATTATCCAAAGTGAGGTGACACAAGATCAGAATAATAGGCTCTACACATACTCGCCATCAAATTGGTACTGACTGATTAACACTATGCTGCTCAAAGAGTGGTCATGTTCACCCGGGATTTAGGGGGTGAGGGGGTATTCCCATATCTGAGGGATGTGGTGAGCATAGTGGAGGGAAAGGGCATACTTCTAACCATTGCTAGAGTGAGGCAAAGATATAAAATGTAACCAAAATGTTAAAAAAAAAAACCAAACATTTATCAGGTGTCGGGCAGGTTGGAGGGGGGAGGAGGGGATGGGTATATATATATACATAGTGAATGTGATGCACACAGTCTGGGGGATGGACACGCTTGAAGCTCTAACTCAAGGGAGGAAGAGAGGCAAGGGCAATGTACATAACCTTATTGTACCTCCATAATATGCTGAAATAAAAAAGAAAAAAAATCATAAAAGAAGACAGAATTTATAATTAAAAGAGAAACAGAAAGGAAAAGTTTTGAAAATTTTCAGCCTGGCTATATAAAGAATGAAAAAGTCTGTTGAGGAGAACAAATCAAGGGTGTGGCCAAGTGACTGTCAGCTAAAGAGATGTAGTCCAGCTAGAAGGAATCATCAATACAATGGGAGAATGTCCCAAAAGGCATTTCAGAGGTCTTTGAGGTTGCCCCTCCCATCACAGGCCCAGAGCTCCAGGACTGGAAGGGTTTGCGAGACCCCTGCCTTGGGTCTCTCCTCCTTGCATTCTGGTACAGCACCCGTTGGCCACCCCAGCTGTAGCTCTTGACGGTACAAGCCATAAACCTTGGTGGCATCTGCATGATGCTAATTCTGCCGGTATGCAAAATGGAAGAGCTATGGGGGCATGATTTCCTCTACCTAAATTAAAAAACAACAACTTAGCATTATTTCTTTATGTATACATGATGTATCCCAATGCTTTGAAGATGGAATCAGAGATAAATACCTACTTCCAGAGGTGGTCTGGGGCACGAGTTCTGTCCAATGCAGGAGTCCAATACTGGCTAGCATGTTCAAGTTCACCTTCCAGAAATTTGAATGAGACATGCAGGGAGACTAAATGTATTGGTAATGTGGCTGGAGTTGAGAAGCAGAGATGGAAGGTTGCTAAATCCCCGTGAGAATAGAAAATTAGAACAAGGAGCAACTGATGATGTGTTGCCTGAGTTGAGGGAATGAGGACGGCCAGCTGAGCAGATCTCTACAGCTCCTAAGCCTAGAGAGCTCCTAAGCCAACCACTGTTGTGTTCTGGTTAAGGTTCTTTTCTCCATTGATTTGGCTATTGTGACACTTTGTTGTTCTTTCTTTTACTTTCCTGCAGAGCTTCACAATATATTCCTATTAATTAGGGGGTAACCTGGTTGTGTCTATTCCTTGCACCCTGAAAACACCTCTTCTAGCACAACAACCACATGAGAGCTTAACAGTGGGATTCATCTTACGGTTGCAGTTTCAGTGCCAGACACAGAGGTCATGCAGATGTTTGAATGAATAAGAGAAATGGATAAAGTAAAATGAGAGTTAAGAGGAGTAGAAATTATTTCTTGCTGAAAGAATCAGAGATGAGCCTTTATAGTGGGAGTGTCATCCAAGGAGGGCCTTAAAGTGAGAGAGTATGTTGGTGGGTATCAAGGGAGAGATTGCTCCCTGCAAACAGAGTCTCTGAAATGGGACTCGTACAGCATTCTTTAAGTGTTATGTTGTCATGAAAGTTTTTAAGGCAATGAGAAAAATACATTACAGAAGAGATCGTAAACATAGGGGTCAAAAGTTTACACCTTTTGAAGGTATTCACTTTCCTATAAACCCAAGAAATAGGTCTGAGGTCTATACCACTGAGGTCTATACCACTCTCCCCATTAGAACCTGCTTTCCTAATGCTTGAAGATCAAGGAGGATTCAGACATAGAAACAAGAATTCCAGGCAGTGATCAAAATCATGGCGGCAGGACCAGTAGAGAAATAAAGAAGTGAAGCTTCAAGCAAAGCATCCGAAAGGGAATATTAGTGGTATGTGAGGTTGGAAAAGCAGATTGAGGCTTGAACTTTATTCTGTAGGTATCAATGCTCTAGGCATTTATGATTTCTAAACAATGGAGGAATGTTAGCATGAGGATGAGTGCTTCAAGAGGATTCATCTGAAAATAGTATATGACGTGGATTTAAAGAGGGAAAAATCATAGAGGAGGGGACCTAGTGCAAAAGCCTAGATGAAAGACAATGTGTATTATCATCATTATGAAATTATATATACTTTTCAGCATTACTATTGAGTATTTGTGTTAGTCTTGCATTTTCACACATCTTCATTATTTATTTATTACAGCTTTTTATGGTAAGTTAGTACCACAACAATACTAGACATCTTTTTTTAATTTATAGCAATGGGATTGCATACAAGATGCAAAGTTCCATAACAGCTTGTTTCTTTGACAGCACATAAGGAAAAATAATAACCACTCCACACATTGTTTACTATTTTGTGCAGAGAGATGTTACTGAAACCTAATCAGTCCCAAATTCTCTTACAAAGTAATGCTTTTTTTTCTCCGATGCTATGAGAATTCTTAGATTCAAAAGAAAACCAAAAGCAATCTACCTTTGGATGTTGCATTTCATACATTAATGTCTCAACGCATAATATTGCACCATTTGGAATTTTATAAACTCACATTTCACCCTGTGAACTTACCTGCATTACAGCAGCCTACCTTTAACTGTCTGACACCATGCTCATGATGAATGGTTTTCAAGTGTTCCACTCTAGAAATATTTGCAAAAGATGGCCCAACAAGTTTATCGATAATCACATCAAAGCTTTGCTTTCTTTCTTCTTTTCCTTTATTTTGTAGGGTTTCTGATTTTCCTCAGTAAAAGAATCAGAACGATAATTCTCAATCTTTTCTCTCTGTGACAAATAAATGATTGAGGATAATCACATTCATAGTACACTCCCATGGGAACTAACTGCAACTCCCACTCAGGAAAGCATGTGATAATTCAAGCCAGCTTGAGAAGTATTGTGCTAGGGATAACCTTGAACATGAATTAAAAATTTTAAAGCCAACTCAAGCGTGAAATACTTTTACCATTAGTTACAAATGATTTGTGGAGATCCTTACAACTAAACACATCCCCACACTTGGCTAAGGGGAGAGCTGCTGGACTGGCCGCTGTCACCACCAAGCACTATTCAGTGTCTGTAAGATGCACACACAACGTACTCCTCCACCATCCACACGCATGTGCACGTTCCCAGGCTTAATTACACGTAGACGCTATGTCAGTCCATTTTGTCCTGCTATAACAAAATACTTGAAACTGGGGAATTTATAATAAGCAAAAATTCATTGTCTCATGGTTCTGGAGTCTGGAAAGTCCAAGATCAAGGGGCTGGCTTCTGGCAAGGGCCTTCTCACTGCATCATCCCATGATGGAAGGACATAGAGAGGGTGAGAAAGAGAGAGAGAGAGAAAGAGAGAGCGGGAGAAAAAGGGGGCCAGATTTGTCATTTTAAAAGAAATCCACTCCCTAGATAATAGCATTAATCCATTCATGACAGTACAGCCTTTACGGCATAAGCACCTCTTAAAGGTCTCATCTCTCTCTTTTTTTTTTTTTTTTTTTTTTGACAGAGTCTCACTTTGTTGACCAGGCTAGAGTGAGTGCTGTGGAGTCAGCCTAGCTCACAGCAACCTCAAACTCCTGGGTTCAAGCAATCCTCCTGCCTCAGCCTCCTGAGTAGCTGGGACTACAGGCATGCACCACCATGCCCAGCTAATTTTTTCTATATATATATTAGTTGACCAATTAATTTCTTTCTTTTTATAGTAGAGACAGTATCTCTTTCTTGCTCAGGCTGGTTTTGAACTCCTGACATGGAGCAATGCGCCCGCCTCGGCCTCCCAGAGAGCTAGGATTACAGGCGTGAGTGAGCCACTGCGCCTGGCCTGTCTCACCTTTTAATAGTGTTACCTTGGGGATTAAGTTTCCAACACATACTTTTAGGGGGACACATTCAAACCATAGCAAACTCTTACATTTTTAAATTCTTACCTCTATTTTCTGAACTTTGATTTTTCAAACTCTATAAAAAAATTACATACAGATTGCTCTTTGGTTTAGAACATTAGATTGGTTATTGAGGGTTTATTTTGTTTTGCTAACAATGATTTCAGGCCAATAGTTTCCAAAACCATAAAGAGAAAATAAGAAATACACAAAATAGATTCAAAGGTAGTTAATTTAAGTAACTTCTGTCATATAAAACCATGAGGAGAATTTATACCCTGCTCACAAATTATTCTATGTTAACAGAATTCATTTTGGTAATCCTACCATTAACTTTTAAAAAATAGTACATGCTATATAACATTCTGAACCCAGGAGAAAAAAGTGAATGAAGTATCCATTTGTCCAATTGATGAAATTGCTCCTTTCAGGATGAGTTTCTGGAAATCCACATTTATTATACCTTAGCATGTTTTCTTAGTTGGCTACATTCTTATTCATTCTGACACATGTCAAGGCACATTTTAGGCTTTCTTTATTTTTCTTTTTTGTTTAACAAATATCTTTTGAATGTCTGTTATGTGTTCTAGTGATGGGAAATCCACAGTGAATAAAACAGATATAACTCTCAGCTCTTGTATAGCTTAATTTCTAATTGGGGGAAGACAGACTGTGAACAAATAAATAAGTGAAACATACTGTGTGACAGATGATGATAAGTTGTATAAAAAAAGAAATGCAGATAAAGGGAAGAGAGAGTTCTGGAATGGAAGGTTTTTGTTTTGTTTTTTAAAATAAGGCAGTCAGGAAAGAACTCGCTGAGAAGATGGCATTTCAGCAAAGAGCTGAGGGAGGTAAGGAAGCCAATCGTGTGGTTATCTGGGAAACAGCCTTCTAGGTAGGGAGAACAGCAAGTGCAAAGGCCCTGAGGTGAGTGTCTCCCTGGTATAATATTATCTCCCAAGGCATAAAAGGAGACCAGTATGGCAACAAAAGATCAGACAAGAGGAAAAAGATTAGGCAATGCAATTGGAAAGGTAAGGGGACCTTTGTAGGTCATTTGAGGGGTTTGCCTTTGAATGAGATGGGCAGTTGCTGAAGGTTTTGAACAGAGGAGTGACAAGATTTTATTGTGATTGTCTTGAACATCAGTGGATAGTATACAATATTAGTGCGAGGTCACTTAAGTGATAACTTCTAGAGATCTAGGGTTTTATGGAGCTGGGCTAAGATTTAGTGATCAAATTAAGTCTGGACAGTTTCATAGTTTTGGTATTTTTTCTGGAAAAAATAAAGGAACGAAGAAATGAAGGAAGGGAGGGACGGGAAAAAAAAGGAATGAAAGAAATCAAGTATCATCAAGACTTTGAGAATAGTAACTTTATTATAGCAATATAGCTTGTTCTCCTGACAACCCTGGTGAATTAAAACAGTCTAGAGACAAAATACTGTGTTTATAGTCACAATAAATACATGATAATTCTTTGGTTTTGCTCACAGCTTTCCTTCAAGCCAGGAGAAACCCTGCTATCCTGTTTGTCAGTTAAACTGTCTGCAAAATGCACAAAAGTTGTATTTACAAACATTTATTTCATGGGCACCCTGAGAAGTTCAATTAATTAATATTGGTAATGTACTTCAAGAGCATCAAAAACATAAGTTTGACCTAAAAACAAGAGTTTTCAATTATTGCATTCAAGTTTTGGGGGTACCTGTTTCACTTTATGTATTATTTAGCAATAATTTCTCCTGAATTATAATTATCAATAAATGCTGTCTAATAGAGACTCAGAGAGTCTGTTTTAAGGAGGAAAACAATAATTTTGGGAAAGCTAATTATTGCATTTGTCTTTATTAAATTTGGCCCTGTTTTATTAGAAAAAATATTGTTAATCAAAAGTTGTTCAGAACAGCAGTTCTTACAAGAAAAAATACCAGTTCTAAAAGTGTAGTCCAGGTACCCCTGGGGGTTCCAAGACCTTTTCAGGAAGTCTGGAAGGTCAAACCTATATTCATAATAATACTAAGTTGTTATTTTTCTTTTTCACTTTCATTTCTCTTATGAATATAGAGTTTTCCAGAAGTTATATGTGACAGAATGCAAGAGCAGTGATGAGAATCTAGCTTCTTCTATTAAAAAAAATTAAAGAAATTTGCAAACATGTTAAAATAATGCTACTGTTCTCACTATACTTTTTAAAAATAGTTATTTTCATAATAATGTTATTTATGTTAACATGCAATTGGTTTATTATTATTAATAAATTAATAAGCATAAAATAAATAAATAATTTTTAAATATGTGAAATAATCCCAAAATCAAAAAGTCTGAACACCAGTGCTTTAGAAGGTGAGTTCCAAAACAGCAGAGATTTTTGTCTGTTTTGTACATCAGTGCATCTTAAATACTCAAAACAGTGCCTGACACATAGTTAGTGCTCACTAAAGACTTATAATGAATGAATCAACAAAATATTATTAACATATTAGATTAACTTATATTAGCTTCTTAAGGGCCTGTAACAAATGGTAATGTTTGGGTTTGTTGAGATTTGTGGATACACCTTAGGATAAAATAATTTTATGTAGACATTAGAATTATTCATGAAAAGAGTTCAAAGTCAAGTGAAATAGTCATTTATATTTCCATTTACAACCTCTCCACATTCACAGAGCCCTGATACAAGAAATTATTTGACAAGGCAGAACAATCTTCCAGAGAGACTAGAAGAATTTAGTGAAAACGTGACTTGCTTCATTCAACCAAGGACATACGGATCCTAACTGAGATGCCTGGTCCCAAAGAACTAATGCCCCTAGAGTTCACAATGTTAAATTGATACGCACAAATAAAGCTTCATTTGTATACACTTGCCAAGAATGGAATAGAAGCACCTCACAACATATTCAATAACTGTGACTAGGGAGAAAAGACAGAAACTAGAATAATTAGGCTTGTAATCTGTAGGTAGTCCTATTAGCAGATCCTTGGGGAATTAGAAGGAAATAATTTTTTTAAATCTTCTGATTTCTAATATGCTTAAAAAAAAAAACAAGCACTAGGTGAAGCACTATTGCAATATGTTGATATTAATAAAAACAAAAGCAAGAGACCTAAAATTGACTTGCAGAGACCTCACTTAGAGTGTATTGTTAATTCTATTATTTTCCTTATAGCAATTTATCAACAAATGTTTATTAAATGACTACTCTTTCTAGGCAATGGGGATTCAGTGGCCCCTGGCTTATGAAACTTATATTTCAAGGGAGGAAACAAACAAGCAAACAAATAAACAACCAAGATAATTTCAGATATGATAGCGCTACATAAAAGAATGAAACAGGCCGCTATGTTAAAGAGAGATGAGTTGAAGGGTAGAAGTTAGCAAATAGGATGAGGAGTGCTGATTTACCCCTCATGTTGGGGAATCTCTCACTGAAGTGGTGGTGTGAAGTTGACACCTGGAAGACAGAAAGGCTTGCTGGCAGGAAGAGGCCCAAATGACAAAGCAGCAGATACAAACCTAAGGAGGGAATGAGCTTGGAGTGTACCAGGAAGAAAAAGGTGGCTGATGAAGTTGGAGCTTAGAGAGGATAAAAGTTGGACATGGTGCAGTCAGAAGTAGGCAAAAACTAGGTCATGAAATGGCTTGAAAGAGTTTGGATTTTTTTTTCTGAGTGCAATGAGAAACCATTGGAGAGCTTGATCTGGTCACACGGTCCATTTTGCATTTTTAAAAGAATCATTCTGGCTGCAGCATAGGGAATGGTTTGTAGAGGAGCAAGTGCAGAAGCAAGGAGACCTGTTAGCAGCTGACTGTTCACCTGGAAGAGGGACCATGGCGACTCAGTGGCTCCCTCTGTTCACAATGGAAGTGGTGAAGAGAAGTGGACAGATATGAGATACATTTATTTGTTTAAAATGGTATATAGAGCTTCTCAGGCTCATAGGAGGAGTTTTACAAATGGTAGCTGTTATTTCATTACTCCTTTCTTAAACATGAAGCTTGCAGAGATTCACAGATTTGTTCCAGCTCACAGGACTAGTAAATTAAGCCGGGGCACCGTTCCCACTGCCACTAGGTACGGTTATGCCATCCACAAAATGCCTTACCTGAGGTCTTTTTTCCTTCCCATCTTTTCTGCATGTGGCTGCCATTCTAATCTTCTTCAAACATTGCTTTCATCATGCTTACCGTGCTGATAAGCACATTATGTGCATTCATGTAGTTATTGAGTAATTGGAGTGAGCTAGGCCTGTATGGGTGGGTGGGGTTCACACTCCTGAGATACGGCTCTTGCCTCTAGGATTCTAGACTTTAGTTAAGGAGACATGATTAATCCATATGAAATAATAGAGAGGGAGATCAAAAAGAGATGGTATAATTAACAAAGTCTTCATAGAGAAAGTAGGTCTTGTTCTAGATCTTGGATGAGAGAGAATTTTAGCAAAGAGAGGCAAAAAGGTGCTGGGTGAGAAAAGGAGCAGAGACATGAAACATCCTATTTTGGTGGCATGTAGAGGGGATTTGCCTGAAGACAGAACATCTGCTTTCAGAAGCTGAGAAACAGAGTCACAGGGTCAGAGTAGTACCTGACTGCAGATGCTCTGAAAAGCTGGGCACCATGGATTTGCCCTGGATTCAGCTGGGTATGGCAAGGTATTAAAGATTTGCAAGCAAGATTAGTGAAGGCATAGCCGGGACTAGTGATCATTTCTCCCTGTAATTTTTAAGGCACTTATCATCTTTAGGTACTCATTAGTTACTGAGCTTGTAATTTTTTCCACTTTAAAAATATATACCCTATATGCACTCAGCTTATATGGAGTAGGTACAGAGTAAATGTTTGATGATGATGAAAGACATGCGTAAGGAGGATTAATGTGGCAAAAGCATATGACCTGAATTAAAAGAAGAAAGCCAGGAGGTAGAAAAGTCAATGAGGAAGCTGTTCCAGAAATGTAGCTGTGAAGGAAGGAATATAGAAGAGGCAGATACGAGAAAAATACTTAGGAAGTGTAATTAAAAGGAGCTGTGAGCAATTTGAATGGGGAGTGGGTTAAAAAATTAATATAGCATTTCAAGTCTAATTGTGTTGAAGAACCACGATGCCACTCAGGTAAGATGGAAGAATTGAGAAAAGGAATTCATTTCAGGGAATAAGATGGGGAATTGGGCTTCGGACAGGCATTTGCAATGATGATAGGATCTTCATTTAGAAATGGTCTGGGAAATCGGTTCGATGAGAAATGAAATGACTATAAAGAGGCCTGAAGTTTCATTATAATTTCATTTACTGCAACAAACATTTTCACGGAGAACTCATATGTGCTAACAGCTATGAGAATATAGAGTTTAAAAGAGGAAGGGGCCTTAGGAATTTACCACCTAGTGGGGAAAACACAGATAGGCAAAGAAGGAACACAAAGTATAATAACATGTGTCCAGTGGAGGTAATGCGCTGGATATGTGAATTAAATAACATCTATTCATCTCTACAAATTTCCCACCTGAGTCAAAAGCTTGTGCGGAAGTAGAGTCTATTAAAGCATCCCTAGGTGGCTCCTCCTGCTGAAGTCCCCCTGCTCTGTGTCCTGCTGCTACTCTGGCCACAACTGTCTAGACCCAGGATTGGCACGAAAACAAAGGCAATGGTCTTTCAGCCAGACATAAAGAAGGCCAGCCACCAAACAGGAAAATGTGCCTCATAAAGGCCCTTCTCATTGAATAGTGAATGACAGACACTGTCAGATCCTCTCTCTTGGAATGTTTTGAATGTAAGTCACAGAGAGCGATCACTAGAAGCACAGATAGCAGTTGAAGCTCAGATTGTATATGAAAAAGAAGCAGAGAGATACTGATTCATGACGATGGCAAAATTACTAGTGTTACAGGCAATGGATGCTTGTGAATGAGAGGATGAGCAGGGCACCAGAGCCTGTTGCTGGATCACAAGAAGTGCAGTCGATTCCTGGACTGAACAGCAGTTCTCTGGCTGATGATAATGATTTTCTAAAGTGTCCTTATTTCCTTAAAATAAATCCTCAGCATTTGCAGTGCTCTAAGTATGTCCTGGCATTTTATACCTTGTAAGAGCCCAACTAACACAAGGGTACTCCTGTTTTAACTTTGATTCTATCTGCAGAAGAGAGTGTCTCATGTAGGAAAGGGTCTGTATGGTCTTCATAAAGCAGATCAAAATGATGTGCACGTGTGCACGTGCATATGTGTCTGCCTTTCCGGAAGAGTCTAACAGTAGAGGGTAGAAACTTCAGTTATATCTTAGAGCAAGCCTGGAATCCTCACATTTTTACTTTTTGTTATTCCTTTCCCCTTTTCCCATTGTGATCCCAGTAGGGTCTGTGTGCTTGTCATTGGAGAGAGCAAAAAAAGGGAAAGCCAGGGAGATAATTCAGTGAGCCACCAGACTTGGGGAAGAGGAACCCTAAAGATGGTAGAAGGTGCACCTGCCGAGAATTTGAGTATCTAGATCAGAGTTTCCCAATGTGCACACAGCAAACTACCAGTTTAGGATCACCTGACTTATTACAAATGAAGATTTCTGGTTCACCTTAGACCAACTGAATGGAATATCCAGGTGGGGGCCTAGGAACTTGCATTTTTTGTAAGCATGGCAGGTGATTCAGGAAGCACTTACCCTTGAGACCCACTGCTGTCAGCTTTGTGTAAGGAAAGAAAGGGAAAGTTGGGGGAGAGGGGGAGGCTGCTGGCTTCTGAGAAAGCACCCAAGACTGAATGGTGGGAAGGCCTGACATGGCGTATGTGTATGTATAAATCGCCTTGGGAGTGAAAGGGAAGGAGAAAGTGTGTGAGGTGAAACTGGAATGTAGGGTGCATGGAACAAACAGTGAGATCCAGATTCATTTTGAGAATCATGAGCCTAGATGATAACTGAGACCTTGTGGATGGATTAGGTTTCTGCTAATGCCAGAATTTTTATAATCAGCATAAAAGTGCTATATAAAGCTTTTCCCTCTTCTATATTGCAGTTCTTTTAAGATTTATGGAGCACCAATTACAGGGAGAACATTGTATCGGCAGCTACAAAAGAAAACAAGAGCTTACCATGTACTTGACGTTGCACAAAATAAATCATTGATTTATGCTTCAGAGTGACCACAAAGCAACATACAAATAAGTGCAAATTCATTCATTCAACAAAAATTCATTGTGTCCATTATATACCAAGTACTTTTCTAGATACTATAGAATGTGGCTTGTCACAAGGTGACCTGAGTGAGTTTAAAAGCAGATTTTGTAAGATGGTGAAGAAAGAGATTGACAGGAGGCTTACGTCACTCTGTTTTAATAAGGAGTTACAGTCACAGAATTCAGGAAGGCACATAGATTCCTTCATTCAATTGTCCATATTTAGAGCGCTTTATTTGTGTCAGAGATTTTCATGGGCCCCGGAAATTTAGCAGTAAATAAAACAGACAAAAAACACTGCTCTCATGGAGATTACATTCTGGTGGCAAGAGAGACAAGAAAATAAATAAGTTAGTATATTAGAAGGTGATATGTTCTCTGGAGAAAAAATAAAGCGAGAAGATAGAATTTGGGGGGACAAGGAGGAGTTTTGATATAAAAGATGATCATCACAGAAGACCTCATTTAAAAAAAGACATTTGAACAAAAATTTAAAGTAGGTGCCAGACTAGGCTTCGTGCATAAGTGCATACTCCCCAAGAAGCCTGTCTGGCATTCTCAAGGAACAGCCAGGAACCAATGTGTATATATGGAACCGAGAAAAAGAGAATATTAGGATTTGAGTCAAAAAAAATAAGAAGGCTAGGGACATCAAATAAGCTAAGGCCATGTAGGATTTTGAGAAGAATTTTGCTTTTCCATTAAGTGGGATGGGAGCCACTGAAGAACTGCAAGCAGAGTGAAAATGATCTGACAAGAAGGACACTCCACATTTTAAGTGTGTGGACTTGGGCCCAACTCTTAACCTCTCTAACATTTGTCTCTTCATCTGCAAAATAGTGAAAAGTATTCTACCGCATGAGGTTGTTGTTGTTGTGATGATTAAATAAGATGATACATGTGCAAAACATTTAGTAAATACTTGATGTGGACTTAAACACATTCTTTCCCCTTCCCCGTATTCCATTCTGTCTCTTCCACCAGGTCTAGGAGAGGGAGGCTGGAACAGGCACTGCAGATTGTAGGAAGCAAACGGTGACAGTTGATCTAAAGCCTTGCTTAACATACATAATAGCTGGGGTTCAAAATCATGTTTTATTGGTGGTTTATGATGGGGACTACAGAGACAGAACTGGAAGCAGAGACTCAGATGGGCGGTCCCATTAGGCATAGGCGCTGGTCTGCCAGGCCTCAATCCTTTAAAACTCTCCCAGTGGACCTTTCTAGGCATTTTATCAATGCAGACTCTGGGTATGCTGTGGCATGTTCAATTGCCCCATTGTTTAATGTCTTAACTCCAGAAGGTTAACTGATTAATCTCAGTTTCCTAATTAATGTTTGAATGACTCTCCTCAGGTCTAAACTGTCAAGGGCACTTCTACTTAAAAACAGTCTTCTGTTTGTGCTTTCAGGAGCAACGGGTACATCGAAAAAAGGTCCCTGTTTAGAGAAACCTTGTGATAGCTTCAAAATATCCAGAAAAAAAAAATGACAACAAAATATCACAGACGCCCCACCACCCCCAAAAAAGATTAGCGATGAAAAAAAGGGTTCATAGCATTTGTTTGGGCCTGGGGCTAAATTCCCAGCCCGCGGGTGGAGGCTGATAATAACCCGGCTGCGATCAGAAAGCCCCGGGGTGGAGAATCATCCGCCGGGGCTCTGCCTAAGTCACCGAAGTCGCCTTCCACGTTTGGTGACTGCGTGTTTATTGACATGCGGCAGATGAGTGTGCACAAGTGTAGGCCGACCCCGAGGTCCGGGAGATTGTCGCAGCTCCTCCGTGTAGACCCGACATCAGCACGGCGGCGTCCGCGTAGCCCTCCGCCGCCGGGTCCCCGTCTGGGTCCGAATCTGCGGCTGCCCGCGGGGACGGCCCTGCGGCGAGAGCCAGGGGGCGGGCCGCCGCGTGGGCCCCGCAGTCCCTCCTCCCCGCGGAGGCGCCGCCCAGACCCGCTCCTCCGCCCCCCGGCCCGGCCCGGCCCGGCCCGCTCCTCCTCCTCCACCTCCTCCTCTCGGCGGCGCTCGCAGCCTCCCTCTCCTCGCTCTTCCCACACCGCCCTCGGCCGCTCCCTCTCGCCCGCCCGTCTGAGGGGGAATCGAGCGCGGAACGCATCGATAGCTCTGCCCTCTGCGGCCGCCCGGCCCCGAACCTATCGGTGTGCTCGGCGCTCGATTTCCCTAGGCGGCGGCCGCGGCGGCGGAGGCAGCAGCGGCGGCTGTGGCGGCTGTGGCGGCGGCGGCGGCGGCGGCGGCGGTGGCGGCTGCTCGGCCAGTACTCCCGGCCCCCGCCATTTCGGACTGGGAGCGAGCGCGGCGCAGGCTGTGAAGGCAGCGGCGGGGGCCAGAGGCTCGGCGGCTCCCAGGTGCGGGAGAGAGGTACGGAACGGACCATCCCTCCTGGGCCCCTGCCCGGGTCCCGACCCTCCTCGCCGGCGCCGGGCGGGGCCGGCGGCGAGTGAATGAATTAGGGGTCCCGCGAGGGGCGGGGCGGGGGCGCGGGCGCCGGGCCCGGCGGGCGGGGTGGGGGTTCTGCAGGGGAGGCGCGGGGACGCGGCGACGCGGGGAGTGGGGAATGGGCGGTGCGGGGCTGAGGAGGGTGAGGCTGGAGGCGGCCGCCGCTTGTGTGCTGCTTCCTGGACGGGGAACCCCTTCCTTCCTCCTCCCCGAGAGCCGCGGCCGGAGGCGGCGGGGGAGAAACTCGCGGCCCGGCCGGCTGCCCCTCGGGGCGCTCGGGTGCGGTGGAGGTTTCTCCCGCGGCGCTCCAGCCTCCCCTCCCCCCCTCCCCGCTCCCGCACCTCTTCCTCCCTTCCCAGCGCTCGGCTGCCTCGGCGCTGCCTTCTCTGCTGCATCTAGCATCTCTAGCACCGAGGTATAAACTTCTCCCTCGAGCGCAGGCTGCACGGGTAGTGGTCCTTTCAGCGTGTAAGGGATGTGTGGGTAAGGAGGGAGGTCACGTTTTGGAAGCGCATAGGAAAGTACTTAGAGACCACTGTTTGAGGTTATTGTGTTTGGGGGAAAAAAACGCGTCTGCCTCCGAGTTCCTGACTGCTCCCCTCCCCCATGTATGGGCTGTGACATTGCTGTGGCCACAAAGGAGGAGGTGGAGGTAGAGATGGTGGTGGAAGAACAGGTGGCCAACACCCTACACGTAAAGCCTGTGACCTGCAGTGAAAAGGAAAAAGTTAATCCCAGAAGGTCTGTTTTGCTTGGTCAAGTTAAAACACACGAAGAAAACCCACAGGGCAGAAGCAAGGCTTTTTCTTTGCTAGTCGAGTGTAGACAGCAGTAGCTAAAATAGTACTTAAAATTTAATTTGCCTGTTCTTCTCCTTTTCCCCCATCTCTGCTATATTACCCTCTTCCATACAGATTTGTTCCCCATCCCAGGAGTTATTACAATACTGCTAAACAGCACTCACCTGATTTTTTAAACTAACAAAAATTAATTGTAGCAGTAGGCCAGCTAACTGCCTGAATTCTCTTAGGCATGTACTTATTATATAGCTGAAGTCCTAAGCTAGCCTTCTTAAATCAAATCAAAGGGTTAAAAATAGAAAGATATTTTCTAATTGTTACACAATATGTATATATGTATGTTTCTAATAAAAAATAATTTAAAAGGAAATTATACAGGGAAAAGATCTGTTTGTAATCATCAGCACAGAATTAACCATATAACCAGTGTCACTCTTAAGTGACAAAGGTCCAAATTGCTGACTCCTACACGTGATAGACTATAAACATCAAATATGATTGATATCAATACTATTTACTTTGAGACTGTAGGCATCCACAACCACTCTTGATTTTAAGAGATTGTAGATGGTAATTTAGTTTTATGACAAAGGTAAGCAAATTTTTTTTGTTATTGTTAAAAAAAATGTTGGGTTTTACTACCAGTTCCACTCCTTGCCAGCTTTTGCAACTTTAGGTGAGAGGGCCCCTTCTGACATGTGATCTTCATTCAATAAAACTCCTTAGGAACACAATTCTGTCTAGTGGGTTTAAATATTGAGTGGTTTTAAAAATCCAGTTCAAGGATATATATATTTTTTTATTCTGGGAACAACCATTGCATAAACAAGTAGACCAGAAGGCGCGTGTCTCTGAATTCAGATGTACATATACAACTAAACTCTAATCGATTATCTGTCCACAGTATCTCTTAGGCTAGCAAACTTTTTGGTCTTAAGGACTCCTTTACGTTCTTAAAAATTATTGAGGGTCTCAAAAATCTTTGATTTCTATGGGATCTATCAATATTCACCATATAAAACTGAGAAATTTTTAAAAACTTCATTTAAAAATAGAAATAATAAGCCTATTACTTGGTAACAGGAACAAAATATTTTATAAAAAGGGACTTTTCCAAAATAAAGCCAAAAATTAGAAGAGTAATTTTTAGCAATTGTCTTTAATTGTCCAACTTAATAGTGGATTCTCATATCTACATTTGCATTCAATCTGTTGTGATCATACATCTGGAAAATTCTACCATATACTTGTGAAACAATGAGAGTCAAAAGGGTTAAAGAACACCTTACTATTATTATGAAAACAGTTTTGACCACGTCTTGGACCCTAAAAAAGTCTTAGGAACCAGAGGGGTCTGTCTCAGACCACATTTTGAGAATAACACTTTTAGGCTATCGGCTATCCAAACTATTTTGCAGTGTGAGGTGGGCAGGCAGCTAGAGGGTACATTTTGGAATGAGTCTCCTCATCTATGTCATTTTCTATGGCCTACATTTGGAATAAAACATGGAGGCAAACAAGATACTTGCTTCTAGTGGCTGTCATCGTGGCCCTCAACAAGCAGTGCATAAGGATAGGTGGAACAGAGGAAGACAGGGAGCTGGACTTTAACAGTCTGGTACAACGGTTTTCAAGCCTGTGTTCTTTGTGAGGGGGCTCAGGAATAAGGTTAGTATGTTATCATTTGGAAAACCAAATTATTATTATTGTTTTTAGTTTTGGTCTTTAGTAAATAGGATGCCACATGTATTAAGTGTTTATGATATATGCACATTCATTAATCTAGAACTACTTATCCTATAATAAATGTGCATTTACTGCCATTCTTTCTGCATTTCACTCCTTATTTGTATTAATATATTACATGGGGGAAAGGAGATGAAATTAAATATATTTATTTTATTTCAAAAAGTCTGAAATAGCTGACTAAAAAATATCAGATTTTATTTTTTATCTCGCGCTTGTTAACTGTACAAGTTGTCAGTGTTTGTTGCACATGTTGGGAGATGATGTACGAAAAGCAAAAAGTAAAAGTCACTTGGATTACTGAGTCGTATTCACTTACATCTTTTGAAAGTTTAGTTTTCCTTTTTGTTTGTTTGTTTTTGAGGCAGCCTCTCGCTTTGTTGCCTGAGCTAGAGTGCAAGTGCAGTGGTGTTGTCATATAGCTCACTGCAATCTCAAACTCTTCTGGGCTCAAGCAATCCGCCTGCCTCAGCCTCCTAAGTAGCTGGGACTATAGGTGTGCATCACCATGCCCAGCTAACTTTCCTATTTTTTGTAGATGGGTTATCATTTTGTTGCTCAAGCTGGTCTTGAACTCCTGGCCTCAAGGGATCCTCTCACCTAGATCCCCCAAAGTGCTGGGATTACAAGTGTGAGCCACCATGTCCAGTCTTTTAAAAGTTTTTTCTTATTAAAAGCAGTGTTTATCTCTGTTTTATTTAATTATATTTTTTGTGTGCAAAAGTGCTGTATTTCAGCACTAAGATAGGATTGTGTATTGTGATTGATGATCAGATCTCCTATACTGAATAGTTAATCCAAAGTTCTCAAATTGCTCCTAGTTTTCACTTTTATTTTCCCCAGAGGTATTTTACAGATTAAAATGTCTTTAAATATTGTCTTTATCTACTTCAGTGTCTAAATTTTTATTTCCCCATAATACAGTCCAGCTTTATTTGATACTCATCCTTCTATCCCCCATCTGATGATTGTTGCTCTTTATACAGGAGAACTACTATGATGATGCCTTTATAAAGATTTCTGTAGCTGTTGGCTCCAACAAAGACACTTAGCATACCTACTTCTAACTATTAGAGGTGGGAGTCAACTGGGAATACTGAACCAATAGGATTGGAGATAGCCGTCAACAAGTTTTGTGTGGGTGTGTCTACAGGATATAGAGAACTCTGCTAGACACTTGTACTGAGTGAAGTCCTTTGAGAGCCATCAGCTGCTATAGAACAGCAGTCTGGCTCTTCAGATAGAACAACCTGAATATAAAATAAAAGAACTGTCTATGTAGTCTGTATGTGTTTTTCTCAAATGTTAATGAGGGAGTTTGTAAATGAAGTACAGTTCATTACAATACATTATCTGTAGTCAACTGAAGTTTTATCATTGAATTTTATAAGATATTTTGCAATAATTTTCCACATAAAGATGGGTTTGTGTTAAAAGGTACTGATAAGAATGTTTTGATAGAGTATTAACTGCATGTATAACACATATCCTAATTTAGTCACATTTTCATTATTTTTATTATAAGGCCTGCTGAAAATGACTGAATATAAACTTGTGGTAGTTGGAGCTGGTGGCGTAGGCAAGAGTGCCTTGACGATACAGCTAATTCAGAATCACTTTGTGGATGAATATGATCCAACAATAGAGGTAAATCTTATTTTAGTGTTATATATATTACTTGTGCAGGACCATCCTTTTGTACAAATCAAGGTTTCTCTGATCATTTTTGTGAGTACTTATTACAAAGTAATTATACTGAAAGTTGTCTTTAGTTATCTGAAATGTATTTGGGTTTCAAGACTTTAACTGAAGTTATACATAACCATAAATATGGGAGCCTTACTTCCCTTGGGAAGCCAAGGTCCGTGGTGTTCGTTCACACTGTGTCAGTGTATGAGCATTTTGTTTGGAAGTGTATTTCTAAGTTTTGTGAGAGGCTGGAAAGGTGAATTTGCATCTCATCTATACCTGAAAGTCACTTTTTAGTGTAACTTATTCTTATGGGTTTCCTGGTATTTTGACATTAGATTGAATTGTACTGGTAAAATGTAATCGATGGTTGGGTTTTTCTTCAACTTAATTAGTAGTATTTTCCTATTTTCCTCTCAACATTAAAGTAGTGGAGAACTGATAGCTACCTGATGCATTGTAAAAAGCTCATTCTTCGTCTAAGGTGTGATAAATGTACCTACCAATCTTTATCTTTGCATTCCATGTTTAGTTTACTCAAGGAAATATTAGGATTGTTTTTTAATTACAATTTGACTAATTAGCTTTTGAGGATTATTTTCAGACACTTTTGGTTTTATGAAAACTTACCAAAGTAAAGGCCAGTAGCAAAGGAGAGGTAAAGACCTAAAAGAGACCTTAAGAGGTGAGGTAGTGGTATTTCCTACTGCCTCTGGCAGCACTATAGTCAAATTATCTCAAGCAGATAGGATTTATTTAATACAAAGGCCTGCAGGAGGGAATATTCCATAACTGTCCTTGTCAACCCATTTTCAGAACATAATTATTAGCATATTTCATGCATAATCTGAATCTTCATGTTAAATTTAACATCAGTAGAGGTAGAAATAATATATCGCTTTGTCTTTGAAATAGCTGTATATTGTTAGATTATTTCTTACGCTTCTTTACCTCAGGTTAAACCATTCTAATCCCTTAGGTTTTATTCTAGATCTAATGTACCAATTTTTTTTAGTCAGTTCTGAAAATTTTCCCATAACTTTCTCCAAATCCCAAATTGTGGAATGTAACAGACCAAAATGCCCTGTTAAGGTACTGTGCTGTGTAATGTCTTAAAGACACACTCTGCACTGCGGTGGATTCTGAGGGCATCAGTGGCTTTAGAACCATGTTTGTGCAATTTAGAACTTTCAGCATTGATTAGATAACTGTTCAGAAGAAAATGTCAAATGTTTTTGGTACTATAACAAAATGGAGAAATAATATTGATTTACAAAGATTTGATTTAAACATAGACACAACTTTTATTTGGCTTCCAAGTTTAGGAATTTGCTTTAGTAAAGAACAGTCTAATTGAAGTGGACTGCCTATGTAATCTCTGTGTATTTACTTTTGACAAGTTAGTTCAATGCTGTACTATAGTTCAGTTGTAAAAGGAAATTTTAATAGACTTTGGGTTAAGCATGGAAGTTTTCCTGGTATTGTGGAAGATGATTTTTAACAGAAATGCCCTCCATCTTCCTTGCGGAGGTTTGAGTCGTTCACCCTTTCAATCTGTATTCCAAATCCAGTGTTACTTGGTATATTCTACCATTTAAATCAAATCTAAAAGGAAATTTTAATAGACTTTGGGTTAAGCATGGAAGTTTTCCTGGTATTGTGGAAGATGATTTTTAACAGAAATGCCCTCCATCTTCCTTGAAAATATGAGAAATTCCATTACATTCTGTTTCCTATCAGAGGTCATGAATGCATATAGCATGGCATCATGAATGTGATAAAATAGGTTAGGAAACCTTTTGCTCAAAATTATTAAAATGATACATAAATCTTGAAGAAATAAAGCTAACAAGTAATCCTTTATGTAGGGGGAAGGTTGAAAACGTTTATAAACTTAAGCCCATAACTCTGATTATGATTTCTGCCAAAACAGAAGACTTGACGCTGGGAAGCATTGATTACCTGTGAACTTTGAAACTGACATTCTGTTGTAGTTTAGCCACCTGGGAATGAGATTATCTTTTACCTCCCAGTTACAGTGAGTCTCTGAGGGAACTGACACAAAGTTCTTGGTGTAGTTCAACTATAAGAAAGGCAAGGGAACTTACTAGTTTAACTTAATAAATAATTGATTGAATAAAAATGCTGACTTCATGTTATAAAAAGTTAAAAAAGAAGATGGGAGATTTCACTGCCGCTGTGAGGTTTTGTTTGATGAATAATGTAGGTTAGAAAGAAAATTAGAGAGGATATAGACTTTGCATGTTTGGAATTCTCATTTGTTTTCCTACATTTTTTTAGTGGAATTTTTAAAAATTTCAATCAAGTAACACTAGTTTTTAATGATTTAGGATTTCCAAAGATTTACAGTAGGAGGTAGATCAAGAGGTGGTCATTGTTTATTTCATTTTTTTTTTTTCACCAACAGATGCAGTGGCATGTTTATTTCATTTTATAGATAATTAATAGTCTCTGAGAGGTTCTGATTCACCTAAGGATACTTAGCTAGCAAGTGGTGGGATTTGAACTTCAATTTTCTGAGACCAAGTTAAGTGGAATTTCCACTGTACATTCGTGTAACTTTTTAAAAGTAAAAATTACCTGTCTTTCAAGCTAAGAAGATATTTAATAATGAAGACTAATTCAGATTTATCAATATACCCAAATTTGAAATTAGCCTGTTATCTAATGGCAACTTATTGGCAGAGATCTGATAGTTAGGCAGGCATGACACATAGATGGATTTTGTTTATATTTGACATGTGATAATCACATGTGATAATCACCTTTATTTTTATTCTGAAAGATTTTATCTTTTATGAAGTCCACCAAAGAGATAATGAAGTATCTTGTTAGTGTGTCAACATTATTAAAAGCTCAAGCCCCCAAACACAATATTTGGCTAGAAATATTTAATATATGCTTTTATAGTTTTGAGATCACTATTTATCAAAACATTTTGCCTGAAATTTTTTTTCCAAGGTAAAATTTGGGGGGAGAATAATCTGGTCTTAAAAAAAATGTAAGATGTTATAAACAGAGATCAGAAGAATCAGTTAATTAGTAAATATATATTGAGTATCTACTGCATATAATATCTAGTAAAGATAAATATAGCAAGAAGTATTTTCCACAGGCTCTAATTCTTTGACATCCTCATGCTTTTCTTATTGTGACACTTACAATTCAGTTCAAGTTATTATGCCCTTCTTTGATGGAATAGTTTCCTACTCAGTAATGAAGAGTAGATTAATAATTAGATTGATTTGTTCCATCTTCTGTGCTCTGGGCTATGTTTATTTTACCAAGGTTTACCAGTTTCTCTATTTTCTTATTTTCCCATGATAATTATTGAATCTATTTTACTTGCAGAAGAAAGTATGTAGTTATAGAGAGAAATTTTATAATATAATACTAAAACAGTGTTGAAGAGTGGTGTAAGAAAAGTCTTATGTAATGTTGTAAGTTGTTATTTTTCTGATTTAATACAATGTATTAGTGGTTATCAATGAGGGGTGATAACTACTCCAGTGTTCTATTAAAGCATTCTGTTTTTAAAATAGGATATTCACTGCAATTTTGTCAGTGTGTCTCTCTTCAAGGCTGTGGCTAGGTCTTCCCCCCTTTTGTGAGTGCCCTCTACTGGTCATTATAAATAATGAAATCCTAAGTTTGGATGTTTTTCCTATATAAACTGTGGGTATAATCAATGTATAAATACATGAATTTTATTTAAAAGTCTTATATAATCGATTTTTTAAAAATTTAAAATATCATTTTTACTTTGCTAAAATTAATATAGAGATTACTGTATACATAGGCCTAACAAGCAAGTGAGTGAGTATATTTAAGAAAGGAAATGAGGCACTATAAGCGAAAATAGAGTCCACTGTTAACACATAATGAGTTTACGTTGAGGGACTAAGAAGCAGCAGTGTGGCTCTCTGCGTTTCTTTGCTTGCACTCAGGAGCTACTTTACAGAGACCAGAGCTTGGTGGTATGTTACAGGGGGTGTTATGAAGAGCCTATTCAAAAGTGGCAAATTGTGAAAGTTCACATCTTGTAGATTTTTATAGGACTGTAGAAGAGTTGTGAAGCACCTGATTTTTAGAATAAACTAACACAAAACTCAGGTACTGTATTTAGGTCAATTTATGAATAAATATTAATAAGTATTTATTTAGACCTGAATGTTAAACTTTATTGGAAATGTTTTATTCTCCTTAGGGTTTTTATAAATACAAAGCTTTAAAAACATACAAATGGAAGTTGGTAATGGAAATAGTGAAAGGAGAAAAAAATGTTTTTATAGTTTGTCATCTCCTCAGATTCTGGTTTAAGCAATACAACTAATTCCTTAATCCCCAAAATGATATTCAGTGTCCACTTTGTACCATGCAATCTTCCAAGGGGATGGAGGTACATAGGGGAGCAAAATGGACTGGTCCCTGCCTTCATGGAGCTTTATTAGTCTTAGGTATACACTTGTCCCTTGGTATTCATCAGACGCAGGGGTCCTCAAACTACAGCCCGAGGCCCGCCGAGGACATTTATCCAGTGTTTTTGCCACCTCTGCCTGTCCTGCTTTGCAGCTGACTGGTCCCAGGCCTGCAGTGTGCATGTGTGGAATGTGCGCCGCACTCTCCGAGGGCCCTCCAACGGTCTGAGGGACAGTGATCTGGACCCCTGTTTAAAAAGTTTGAGGACCCCTGCACCAGAGATTGGTTTTAGGACCTCCTATGGGTACCAAAATCTGTGAATATGCAAGTCCTTGCTATAAAATGGCATAGTGTTTGTGTATGAGCTACATATATCTTCCCATATACTTTAAACCATCACCTCATACAATGCCTACATCTCGATTCATTCTCATGGATTCAACATAGTACTTGTATAATGCAAATTTGAGTTTTGGGCCAGGCTTGGTGGCTCACGCTTGTAATCCTAGCACTCTGGG